TGTCCTTCGAATCAGAAGTTTGAAAATAAACCACAGAATAAAGTATATAGTCTTTATTATTAGGTATACTTTTCTAAGAGGGATAAAAAATACTCTATAGAAATTTATTCTTACTGCACACACACAGACAAACTTTATACATGTCTCTATATGTGGTATAGATTAAATTTCGTCCGTTATGACGTCGGAGAGATCAATTCATCGACCCGAATGGTTATGGCCTAATTCAAGATGTCTTGCACAGAAAAAAAGAAGAGATCAATCTTGTTCGAAAATTTGTTGCGAGAACACGAAAACTAATTTATAATAATAGCTGTGTTATGTGTGTGTGTTTAAAAAAATTCTTTAAAAAGAGAAACTTTTGGGGGGATGAGGAGTAAAAATATATATTTTATATAAGTATACTATTTACAATAAACGAAAAATGTCTAAAATATAATGCAGATGAAACTTAAATATAAATTGATTAATAATTAATTAATATAATTAAAGTATTACTTAGTTAAAAGCGGGATTTAGTTGAAAAATTTGAAATTTTAGTTAAACCAAAAAGTATATTAAAAAAAAGTTTTATATTTAAAAATTATTTATTTAGCATTTTCTCGGAAATTGGTATAATATCTTATATATAGGATCTGAAAATGTAATAATTCATTACAGATTATATTCAATGTTATTCTAGCTTTGACCTATTTTAGACATCGTTGCTTATTAAACCGAAAAAAAGCACTTTGAAAACTTACGAATGGTAGTTGTGTAAATCTGAAGGAATTGAATAGGACAACTTGCTAATCTCTAATCACTAGAACTTTGACGCGGAAGACGTCTTTAAGATTAGATACGATTAAAATAAACTGTAGAAAGGAGTTATTGTTTCGTGAGAATTTAATTAACAACATAACTGATACGAATACGAAGTCTATTTGAATCTGGAACAGTCTAGCTGGATTTTAGTTGCTTATATATGATTTCGCGTGAATTTATATACTGATATATGTAGTGTTTCTAAACTGCGCCCCGAACAATTGTCTATCTTGAAACGCAACTCTAATAAACTACCGCAGTACTATCACAAATTAAATTGATTAACAATTTAATAATTATTTGATGCTCTTTTGGCCTCTTATATCAATCTTTAACGACGTTAAAATCTGAAGATAATAATTCTTACTGCGAAAAATATTACCTCGGCCGGGAGTCGAACCCGGATCGCTTGCTTTATGCGCAAGTGTCCTAGCCAATTAGACTTCCATTTATTTACGTGCCTGAAAGAAAACATTTGTCACACTTCACATATATCAGTTATTGCGAGAAATTACTAAGGCCTTGGTAGTCTAATTGGCTTGCGCGTAAAGCAAACGATCCGAGTTCGATTCTCGGCCGAGATAATATTTTTCGCAATAAGAAGAATTATTATTTTCAGATTTTAATATTGTTTAACATCGATACAAGATGCCAAGAGAGCATCAATTAATTATTAAATTGTAAATCAATTTAATTCGTAATAGTACTGCGATAGTTTATTAGAGTTGCGTTTCAAGATCAACAATTGTTCGACGCCGCGCAGTTTAGAAAGACTACATATATCAGTATATAAAGTCATACGAATATTAATTTACCTTTTTAGTTTGGAGGAGGCGGTAGACTCAATTATTTTTTCACTAAGATCGTTTCTATATAGCTATTTTATTTTAGTCGTTTATTTCTTATTTTATATGTCACGCAGCTCTACAAATTACTTTTAACAACTCTATGCAAAATGTTTATTCTATTTCAACGATATATTTCTCTTTATATCTATACAAATATTGCATTTATAATTTATTGTGGTAAACTGAAATGACCTTTGATACTTTTAGATTGTTGCATATAAAACGATGGATTTTGAAAGTTTGTCTTTTGTAGAGCGTTTTTTAGTTACGTCAATTGCATTGGAACGTAAATTGATGGGGAAAATCGATGAATGTTATAATGTCGAAGTAGGGCGCTAGAAATAACTCGCAATATAATTCAGTACTTTAGTTAGAACACACAATCATCTTGCATTACCTTGGTATAATATATAGTCATTTTTTACTTTTGTGTCTGTAAAATTTTTGAATTTCATCGGAATAGAATTACGAAGTTGGTGTTGAAAATGATATGAAGACTGTCTGATATATGATTACCGATAAACATGTAATTACATACACAGGTAGAATTGTTTTGTTAAAATATCCACAATTTTAGTCCGATTATTAGATTTGAAAATAATTTTGTTGAGCCATCAAAATAATCATACAGACCGCTTAAGCGTTAATGATAACGTTGCAAGAAATTTTAACATTCTAGCTTCTCTATTTTAAGCGTTCTACAGAATTATTTTGATGATTTAAACAAAATTATTTTTAGATCAATATTTAGTGAAATTTTTAGATTCCTCAATATATAAAACCGTTCTTTCTGTATCGTTATTAACGAGAAATTGTTGATATAATACTATAATGTGTGTTTTATGTGATATAATTTATATAAAACAAAGAACTTTGGTATAAAAAGAAGACGATCAAATGAATATTCGCTTAAGTTTTCAATTCAGAATACTTTCTATGCTTCTCTCTTACAACTTCAGCGAGGGAGATAACAAGAATGATTTCGTAGAAAATTAGTGTCTCATTAACATCTCGGTATCTAAAGCAAAATGACTTGCCTTATCGCCAAGTTTTCACCTTACAAAGTGAACGTTGAAGAATTATATCTGATTGTGATTCAGCACGTTGTAATAGTTATTATCTCTGATGTTATTTCTTTTCTCGTGAATTAGAAGATGGCTCTTGTTCATTCTTTTTATTCTGACAGAATTATTTATTTGACTCAAATAAATTAATCGAGATTGCGTTGTAAGCAAGACTATTCGTGAGCATTAATGTTTGAGAAATTTTTGCGATAATATATAGTTTAGAAAACTATGTTTTTTAACTTTCTTATTGAAAATCTCTCTTCGCAATGTTACATTAAGTATTGTATATATTATGATGACTAATTACAATATATACGAGTAGAAAGCTCTAAACAGAAGTATAAATTATAATTTAAAAAGGAATATTATACAGGAATGAAGTATGTGAAATGGAGAATGATTTACCATGGTTATTTTTTATTCTGTATATTTCACTCAGACATCTCTCGAAAATTTAACCTCTCAGGAAATACAGAAGCTACGGAAAGATCTCGCGAGTTTATCTCGAGAATTCTGTCAATATTTTTATTCATCTTACACCAATAGAGTACAAGATGCATCGTCGCTCTCTTGTTACCCGATTTGAATCAGTGTGTATCGTGTGAGAACCGGTACCCTCGTAAGGGTTTCCTCGGTCGCGATGTCACGAAGACATCAATATCGAATTTCACGTCTGTCTCAAACCAAACTCGAAATGTTCTCTCTCGAGACTCTCGAATGCTTGGAGATCTCGGATATACGATCGGTGTTTCTCTCCTTATACACGCAGGTGTCTAAGATTCTCGCGTACATATGACGTTTATCTTGTTCCTTGTAATATTCCATGTGGAGCGGTTTCGAGACAGTGTGTGTGTGTGTGTCTCTCAAAAATGATATAATTCCAAAACGAAAACTGAGAACAGACATATTCTCCACCGTATCATAACATTTTCAGGTTTCTTTAATAGAATAACGCTTAGATTATAGGATAATCTTCTTTCTTCGTCAACTATTGGTGTAAATCAACGGTGTTAATCTGTTTAGAGAAAGAAATATGCACATATTTTAATATAAATTTTGCAAAAATTCGTTACATTTAGCGTGAAACGTGTAATGAGAGGTATGTAAATATTAGAGCAACGTATATATAAAGTGTAATAAGATATGAATATGTTAAAGCAAAAATAGGTATATTATTCAGAGGATTATGAGGAGAAATGTTTTTTTGGTTTGAAAACATCGTGGTCATATACGAAGGAATGAGATAAATCTTTACTTTGCAATCGACGTTTTCAGACGAAATTTTAAATATACTTTTTTTTCCTTCTCACTAAAGACCTTTTCTTTTCAGTCAAGAACGGTCCGAGGAAGAAAATCGTAAAAATGTTCCGTTTCTCCAATGCAGAGTACCTACATTTTTAATCGGGCTCCTGCCGGAAACATTCCTCCGCGAATCGGTTTTAACTCCGACGATCTTGCACTTGTACGAACTAATTACACACAGACAGACAACGTTACTCCGTGCATGTGTTTGTACAAGAGATTGCAAACTTCGCTGCCAGTTCCGGTTTGGACTTCCTGAATTTGTAGTTGGTTTGCTCTCCGCAGTGATGATTTAACCACAATCTTTGATTATTTGCGACTTTCACGATTAAATTTTTATTACATTGATAGAAATGTGGAATATAATATATCCCGGTAATTTCTCTGAATCTCATTTAAATATATGTAAACCTTTAAATTATTATTCAATGTTCTACGATGCGAATACGAAATTAGATATGCCATAATCTATTCTTCGCTTGTCGAATCAACGTGATTCGCGCATTTTCCTTACCGCCTGCTTCTAATGATGTTTTCTCCTTCTTTGTCGATTTTGATGCTGAAAGTCAAATTTCATTCAAGCGCCCGCTGTGAAATCCGTCACGGTGAGTCAGACATGCAGCGAGGACGCGCGCGGAAATAACGTTCATTATGCTAACGAATGCTAATGTCAACCGGAACGACAGACAGGCGAAAACGGAAGAATATTCGCACAAAGTTCGAACTGTCGTTGCCGTGCTGAGAGGATCTGCGCTCCATATGAGGATCGTTCGTTCGTTTGCGGTTCACCGAGAACGTAATGCGACAAATTCCGTCCGCGTAAAGAAATCACGACGACAGGGAACAGAGAAAGAGTTCTTTTCTGTCCGCCGCACGTAAATGCGATATTTTAACGACGACGCGGCAAATGTCCTTTAACAATTCTTTCGCGACTGGCTTTTCGCAATCTCCGCATCTGCTTCAAATCAAATGGAGCATTCTATTCGCCTTTCTCCTCGGGACTACTAGGTAAGGTACACCCGACTTGTCTCGAATACTCCACAATGATTTCTTTGAGCTGTTTCGTCAAGATCACTTGATCCTTTACTTGCCGTATCAGCCGATCTTTCTTCACCTCTAAGTCGTTGAGCTCTTGAATTTTCAACTGCTCAGCGACGCGCGATCTCTTTCCAGCCTTTCGTGTCTCGTATATAAGTACGCTCCCCAAAAGTCCAAAGACCAATGCCTAGGGGATTGAATGAATTCGAATTTTATTTTATGAAATGCAATCGAAAATAAATTAGTATTTCAATGCGCGTAATAATATCTTAATTGCTTTCTTTACCTCGAGTAGTAATGTCGTTCCTATTTCCATTGTGCGATCGTCGTCAACGGGTCTTTTTTTCGCTATGACTGAAATCTGTCGCCACTTTATCATATCTTCGCACCAGTAATAAAAACGTCCCAGTTGAATCAGAACGTATTTTCTTAAAAGCGGCCGTTTCTTCGCACGCTTTACTATCGCCTTTGACAATGGCTGCGTGATTTGACTTAGGAGCTGTCCTATAAGATTCGCACCGGGAAACCCTTGCCCTATCATAGTTATATACAATTTCATCAAAGGAAATAATTCAATAAAACTTTTCTGTAACCGCCATTTGCGAATAATGAATTTTCAATTCGCTGAAATATTAATCTCTCTTGAGAGAAAATACTAATTCACTTTATTTACATATTTTGACATAAAGAAAATTCTAATTGGGGTTAAGTTGTCCGTTTCCAACAGATCTCGAATTTATTCATTTGTTATAATAATAAAAAACGTAGTATAATTTTTTTCCGTGAAAATAACACGATGGTATTTTCCTTAATTAAATTATATATACTCTTTATAAGAAATATAACAAGCAAATATTTTCGGATCTAAGTTATCATTTTGATTTTCTATATTTTATGCTGGGATCGAATATCGACCAAATAGCTATAAACGGCTATAAACAGATTATATTCACCCACATGTCAAAAATTAGCGAACTGACCCAATAATGCGGTATACAATTATAGGTCACTTTCAATTGGAAAGTGGTAACCGCGTAGCCCTTTTGAAAAGTTCATCAAGGTGAAGTATCATTTCAGCAGAATGCAAAATATACATTTTAAGTGACGATGAGAGAAATATAGGAATATTAATTTTATTATATATACTTATTGTATAAATCACCTCAAATGCTATACAAAATATAAAGTTGTTATAGAATAATGTGATAGAAATTGAGGTTCCTCCGCGTTTTTTAGGTCAATGCATTTAAGCAATTTACCCGGGGATCGGAGATCAGGTTGTGCGATGATTGAAAATGATCACAAGGAAAGAATGGATAATAATTTGTAGGAGAAATTTAGATTCCGGCCTCGCAAGGGTTATTTAGGTTATATGGGAGCTCACGCGCGCGGACCGGCTTTAGATGAAATTGAAATTGATCCTAATAAATTAATACTGTCATTTATTAAAATTTTAAAGGAAAGAAATGATAATAATGTATAATGGAACAAAACGCGATATAACTTACATGAGAGGAGTGCGAATATAGTACCTACTTGTTATGTTGCGGAGGCAACTGTCGTGACGGACTCTATTCCGAGTTTATTTTTCTACTGACTGACTAACGGACTACCTTTTGCAGTTCCTTTATATTCTGGCACAGAATGTGGGGAGTGTCTTCCCCCTAAGGACTAATCAACATTCTTCAAGATTTGATAGGATCTATACTCGCACTTGTTTTCTTAAGATAAGGCAGCAAGACTCCGCGTAAGCCCTACTACGAATCTAGTTTTATGTTAAGAATACAAATTTAATTTTCTTAATTAACATCCTTATGCGAGGTAATGATATATTCTAAATTTTAAATTGATTTTAATTTTATTGGGAAAAAGAAAAAATAAAGAAAAGAAGGAAAAATAAAGATATTCATCCTCACATTCAGGAGGTCTTAATTTTTATATAATACTAAAAATAGTTTAAAAAATTAATACTACTTAATACTCATATAATACCACTTAATTATTAGACATATATGCTATTGTTTAATTATTATTTAGAAAAAAGTCTTTCAAAAGAAAAAGAAAGATTGTAGAATAGATATTCTTTATCTATGTGATTCATAAGGATATACAAACGTGAGCTATCTGTTGATTTGAATGTTTAAAAAATGAACTAAATATGCCTTCCTACAAAAGGAACGGTTACAATATACAAAAGGTATGATGAACAAAAGTTTCGAAATAAAGATAAAATAGGGACAAAATATCAAAATCAAGACAAAATACTAAACTAGAGATAAGATAAAAATAAGATATAAATCATATATTTATAACAAAAGAGGAAAAAGAGGATTTTATCGGGATATAACAAAGTATAAAATATGTTGAGGAAAAAATTTTATGAATAAAACAAAATCTCAAAAAAATTTTTAATATTGCCATGTAATTATGTTAGTATCGAATGAATTAGTCATACATGCATATGTGTTGTGTATATATATATGTATATATGTATATGTGTATACATATATATACACATTAAATACGCGTAATTATATATCTGTTGACTTTAATATACATTTAGATTACTTTTAAATTATATTTCGCTATATATTTATTAACTCAGTAATTCGAATCTATCTAATTTACTTAAATTTTTTAATAGGAGTAATTCTTTTAAATAATGTTTTTTAAGTAATTTTAAAAAACGTTTTTTCAGTTTTTATTTCAATTAAATTTTATAAATGTTAATTCGTCAATTTATTTAAATAATGATTACAGAAAAAACATTTATAAAAAAATTTATATTAAAACATATCAAGTATTATATGAGTTTTGAATGTAATTCTGTTAAATATATATGATAATTATATCCTTTTTTTTTTCTCTCATTCATTTGTCTTCTATTAAAAACGTGCTTTAAATGCGCTTTGTGGCACTGCATGTTGACCTATATACATACATGAAATAAATACGAGTATGTACACGACTACATGTGATGACGTGAGACGATGTTTAGGTCGAGAATTTGTTTGACTGTGGAGGCGACGTTTTTCCCCCTAGTTTGATATAACATTTTCATCCATTTCCCTTGTGTCTCGATATCATCTGGTTGGATTTACCGAAGAAATCGAATCCACTGAAATGACGCAGTCGAGGTATAAGCCGTCATCCGTCGCTGAGATCTACTAGATTGTCGCGAAGGTACGAATCGCACATGATCTCTCGCGAGAAAATCCAGAATTTTACCCTCATCCTTTACGTACCAATCCCTTTTATATGGGATACGCTTTCCAAGATCTTATAAATAATGTGTTTGATAGAATTTCTAGAAATAACTGTCGGTCGCCAATTAAACTAGGATTCAACTGAGACGCCAATATAGTAACTATCTTAGTTTTACATTTTTTGTTGCACAATAAAATTTAATATGTGTTAACAGCATGAAGATATAAAAATAAAAAGATGAAAAAAAGTTGCTACAAAAAATTGTATTCCGTCCTTTGGATAGTCATGTTAACGTAACTGTACGACTTTTTTATTTAAACATTTAGTTATATGAAACAGACATGTAAAGTGTGTGTATATATAAGTTAATACATCACCATGATGAGACTTTCCTTATTCTTTTAGGTTTTCTGACATTTTTTATTACTTACAATTAGTATGCCTAACAATTAGTATATATTTGTCTTTAAATTGAAAAATATATATTTCTTTAAATAATAATATTTATTCTTAATTTTTTAAGACTTTGTCTTTAAATTTATTCGTTTTTTTAAGTTTAGATTTGATTATATACCAAATATTTTTATATACAGCTATATTTTCTAAAATATCTAGGCGAAAACTATATTTGCAATTAAACGTTTACTGATTACATAAGAGATTGTATGAAATACTTTCTAGGTAAAATGATAATAGGATATAGGAAAGTAAAATTGTCTCTCGGTTCCGCTTAGTTAGAGAAGATACATGTATCTCGGTTACATATCTAGGGAATAAAATGTCTGTTCCATTTTCAACGCGATACAGATCGGTCTTTCGGGACAAGTCTCGATTTTGGCACGCCACTTCTTTTCTAACAAACGTTCCTTGTTTCTTTCTCTCTCTCTCTCTCTCTCTCTCTCTCTCTCTCTCTCTGTTTCTTCCTCTTTCTCTCTTGAAATGACTGACTCGATGAACGATTTCATATAGTTCTCTCGGCCACCCCTTGGGGCGTCCTTTCACTTTTATCCCGCGATCGATCCGACCTACGCCCCTATGCATGGCTATTTGCGGGGCCCGCGTGCGGGACAGAAAAGAAGAATCTCTATGTGCACGTGTGCACTGCTCCGTGACATTTCAAAGTTCATGGTTTATTATAGAAATGTTGACGAATAATACTAATTTTTGAATAATAAATGATTAAATTTAATAGTTAATTTAATATAAAACCGATCGATTTTTCAAATACTAAATAAATTATTTCTGGAAAGAAGGAGGAGAAAGAAAAAATTTTATTTCATTAACACGCTTTTGAGATTCTTCGAATTTTTATTAAATTGATCATATTTTCATAACAGCATTTGAAATAGTATCTCTATTTTGATAAATAGTATAATCGCTGTATGTATCAATTTTGTGGTTTTCATAAGGGAGCAATAGATATTTTTGGTGGAGAGACGGACAATGTTTGATGCTTGTTTCACGTGATACTTAATGCAATTATTGCATTTGCATATTTGCATTTTATTCGGTTAATCCTCAGTTTCATGTATGGTGATGTCATTTTGTCAGCAATTTGCATGCTACAAAATAAAAAATAATCCTTTTGTGATCGTTTGAAAGGAAATATTTGCAAAATAACGATTACGCGATATCCATGATAACTTATTTTTGCGTAAGTGAAATTAAAGACTATAGAATGCGTGCGTTCTTTCGATCGGTTTAATTAATGTATGTATATCGGATCATCTTCATCATCGTCACCGATTTTGCCATCGAACATTTGAAATCTCCATATTCAAGAGCATCAAATAACAACCACCTTTAAAAGTGTCGATACGCAATTTCCTGCGAAAACACGTCGCCGATGCCGGCGCCGCGCGTTAGGAAAATCGGCGAGGGAATATCGGAAAATGTCGACGAGGTCGGCAGGCGAGGTGTAGGCGAAGAGGCAGGACAGTGGAATGGAAGGACGCTCGTTCCAGGAGCACTTCTCCCGTCCGTCGTGACCGCATGGAAGGCAAAGAAAAAAAAGATGCCTATTTATAAACCATTAGCGGAGAATGAAGTTTAATCAGGCTCACGACACCCCTCGCTCTGCCTCTATTTATTGCTCCTCGGTTGATCAATACATTAAATGTTAGGATATCGCTATCGCTGTCTCGTTTGAGTCGAAGAGGATTTTGGTTGATCGTCGATTAAAGCTAGCTTTTTCTCTACGCGAGCTGGTAACCTTTTCTCCTTTTTTTTTTTTTTTTTTTTTTAATAATGCATCATCCGTTTTTCTTTTTTCGTTTCTTTTTCTTTAATAAATTTTCCGTCGCATATTAATTCAAGAATAAAAAGATTCCATGCACT